AGCCCTGAGGGCCTCCATTTCCATTTTCTAACCAAGCACCTTCAACTAGAGCCAACTCCAAGGAGTTGAGTTGGGATGGAGGGAAAGGGGGGAATGTAGGAGATCTCCCAAATAAAAATTAATGAAAACAGACTTGATCCAACCCAGAGCCAGGCAAAATATGAACGGCACACATGAATACCATCAGCAGAAAGCTCACCCTCAGCCTGCAACCCCGCCTGCAGCCCGCTGGTTGGCATGTGTTCAGGGCTAGACATAAGTGGGAGGACTGGAAACCACTGGTTCTGTACAGAAAACAGACTAACAATTTTTCAAAAAATAGTTCAATTACTCTGTCTTCGGACTCCTGATAGCATTAAGAAAGGCAGAAGTCCTCCGTGGGGTGGAGCAGGGGTGGCTTTCAACAAGCCTGTCTCCAGTTTTCAGAAGTGGGCTCGGCCTGCAATGACTCCCCCACCCCCCAGATCCAGGAAAGTGTGATCCCACGTAAGCATTGTGGATTAGTAGTTTCTGATGAGATTAACCCTTTAGATTGTTTTGTGAGGTAGACCTTTTCCTTTACTCCTGGCTGTGGAGGTAGAATGTCCCCTTCTGAGGTCTGAGTGAGGGGATTCAGGCTGTAGACAGTGTCAGAAAAGGAGACGAGGTCTGGCCGGGTAGGCAGGAGCCATGTGGACAGTAGGAGCCCCCAGTCTGGAGGACGCATGGCCCGGATGGTCTATGCAGAGTGCTTTGCTTGGTGCCCGACATGCAGAAAACAGTGCCGTGATTGGTTCAACTGTTGCTGCTGCTGTTGTTGAAAATAAAAAGCTGTTCCTTCAGAAACATCTCCTGAAGCCAGGTCACTCAGTGTCTCAGCAAACGTCAAGGTTAAAGCAGCTGAAGGGGAAGACTGTTAAGTCTACCAGGGTCTTGTCCATGAGAAGCCTTTTCAACCCTGTAAGTCCTGTGTAGAAACCGTGTGAATGCTAGCATGAGCCATCCCAGGCAGCAGCCTCACTGCATCTTCCTTGTCACCACGGAGGAACTCGTCAGGTAGGAAAGCATGTGCCCAGAAAGTGACCTCAGCCCCTGAAGGACAGGGGGTCTGCTTTGAGGCGAGGACCCTTACTATCGTTATAACTGAAATCACTTATTGAGGCTCCTTCTCCGTGTGAGGAACAAAGGAAAGTTATACATTTTTAATCTTTTTTTTAAAATTTCTATGAAAGTAAAAGCTGTGAAGTCCTTGGAGACAGGTTCTTTCTGATCACTCTTGTGGGTCTTTTCTTGTCATTATATCCATATAAGGTCTTTGATTGTGTGCAGCCTCTCCGAATGTCTGTGTCTGGCTCCCAGGCGCACTCCTTGTTCTTATTAAGGTTCCTTCTGAAGGGCCTTATTCAGTCCAGATGGCTCCTGTGTGTGCTTCCCATCACTCCCCAGGATGGTGAGGAGCTGGGACTCACGGGCCAGACTACAATGAGTGAGCTTCGTGACCCAGGACGGTGTATCAGCTCTGTGGCCTTGAGCAGTCACGTGACCTCTTTCATCCTCAATTTCCTCATCTCTTAAACAGAGATAATAAAGAAGTGTGCCTTTTACTGTTATTGGGAGGATTAAGTGAGATACTACATATAAAGCACAAAGCTTGGCATGGTGGTGCTTTAAAAATGTTGGCTGAATATAATTATCGTTACTATCAACCATCTTCATCATAATATACTCCTTGCGAGGCTTAAGGTTGATACAAAGGTAAATGAGAGAGGTCCATGTCTTCGAGAATCTTGCAGTTGATTAGGGATAATATTAATTCACTCACTTAACAAGTATTTATTGAGTACCTGCTGGGTGCCAGGTGCTGTTCCAGGCATTGGGGGCACACAGTGTGCACTCTGCCCAACAGGGATCAAAGCTCTTCTAGTACCTACACACTTAGAAAATTGCATACAGTCTGGGATGTGGTAAGTAGTATATGAATGCTACCCACAAAATATTTGATCAGATAAGTCATCTATAACAAGAACCTGCAGTTAGTAGGTCCTCACGTGCCTATCAAATCAAATCAAGCAGTCAAAGGCACAATGAATTAAAGAGCCATATGAAAATTGATCCCAAGAGCAGGTGTAAAAAAAAGGCTATACAGTTGCTGTTTTGCCAAGCCGGTGTGTCTCAGTGGTTGAGCATCAACCTGTGAACAGGAGGTCATGGTTCAATTCCCAGTAAGGGCACATGCCTGGGTTGCGGGCTCTATCCCCAGTAGGGGGTGTGTAGGAGGCAGCCAATCAATAATCCTCTCATCGTTGATGTTTCTATCTCTACTCTCCCTTCCTCTCTGAAATCAATAAAAATATAATTTAAAAAATAATAATAAAGTTGCTGTTCTTGCCACTCCCCTTGAAAGATCGGAAGCACCTCCTTTTTATTCCAGTGGCTCTGGCTAGGACACAGGCTTAGCTCAGGACAGTGCAGCCTGCTAAGTCAGAACACCCTCACAGCAGCTCTTACATCCCAGCATGTTCCCCCGTGCCAGTGCAGCCATGGGTTAAACCCAGGATCTGAGTCACCTGCAAGGCATTTGCACGCCCAGACGCAGAATGACAGGAAATGGCATCTGGTCTCCCCACTCAGGACCAGATAAGTAAGTGACACCAGCCACTTCCCAGAAAGTTAGAAATGTGCCTAGGATTCATGGTCACGGCCCAAACTTGTCGCTGGAAGAAAACGAAGTCTGAGGGTAAGAACTTGAAATTGTTCATCGGGATTCTCAGTCCATACTGGACGTGACGTTTCCAACGGTCATTTTGACCTTAATTTCCATCTCCTCAGTGGTTGTGTTGGGTGTTCATGCCCTTCAAGCCTCTTCAGGGCTGTCAGCTACTCTGTAAAGGCTCAAACCTTTAGGAGAAAGTTACTCCACAATGATCTAGAATGAGAAATTTTAATCTTTATTCAGACATACACGTGGGCACACGTGCATATAAACACACACACAATTCTCTATTATAATAGTAATTTATAATTATTATGGAAAATTTGAAAAATACATAAGAGAATAAAGAAGATGAGAAATGTCCATTTCAGCCATACAGATAAACATGGTTAGTGCTTTTATTTTTATTTTTTTATTGATTTCTAATCCTCACCTGAGGATATTTTTTCCATTGAGAGGAGAGAGAGAGAGAGAGAGAGAGAGAGAAGAAGAGATGTCATGTGAGAGAGACATCGATTTGTTGCT